TTAGATTTAATTTAATAATTATTTTATGCAAAATAATTAGTTAAATTTTCATTAAAATAAAAAATTCGAAAAAATTTTAAAGAAAAGATTAATATGTGACTAAAATTTTCTACTAATAATCAATTTAGCAATCATTATTATGATTGCTATGCGTCCAATGTAATAAGGAAATATAGGTAATAGCTAAGTAAAAAAAAAAATCAATATTGTCTGAACTGAAAATGTGAAAATCGCGAAAGATATAAATTGGTAACTGTATGAAAATATTATAATTATTAGCCAGAATATGTGTGCAAAAATTCTACATAATAGTATATTCTACTCGTTCATAACTCGCAAGTTATGTTCTCGATATTTTCTTATTAAGATTTTCGAATTCAAAATGTACTACTAACTGATGTATTACTAACTTATGACATTTACGATATTTTATGATACTCGTGGAATTCATGTATACGATACGTTCTACAATTCTTTCATCATTTACGTAACAGTGAACACAGGAAGGATGCATTTACATATCGCATCACATGACTGTCCGTTCCAAATTCAACTTTGATTCAGATTCCATTGAAATGCACATGTTTTTGCATCTAAGTATAGCTCGGCGAGTTATGCTCTTTTCGTAACAATGAGACCAAACCAAATGTGGCGCACATAAATAGTCTGATAGTCCAGCTGCTATTTCGAACAGAATTCTGAACATTCTGAAATTTTCTCACTGGTCATACAACTAGTAGCATCGGCAGAAGCTTGTAACTGTTATATATATATATATATATATATACTTCTATGTTTTCCCTCTTTTTTTGTGAAAAAGAGAGAAATCGACCAGTTGAAAGACTTTTTACTCCCCCTCTCTCCCCTCCCCCCAATTTCTTTTTGTATAGTTTTTATAAACATATCCTTCATAATATTAACGAAATCAAATAGAAGCAATAATAGTGATTAGTTTATCATAAAAAAATTATACGATGCTGGGTGTATATAAAGTCATGTCGATAAACTGTCATTGACGGACGTTGTATTTCTCTTTCGGACACTCTTACATGTGTCGGCGGCACGATCATCAATTTTAAAGTTACGCGGGTAAAGTTTATTTCGCGAGTGGCGTGCAAAGGCCGGGGCTATTGTGAAGTTGTTCAAGTTGTTGGAGACCCAACCCCTCTTCCAGTCACTGCTAGGAACGAAACCCAGCATTCGCGTTCGTCGAGCTCCTGGTAAAGGGGTATCGTACCGAAGGTGTACGTGCACCGGAATGTTCCTGAGACAAGGTTGTTTTGTGTGTAAAGAACGCGCTGCCTTCTGACTACATCAACGTAAGATAGAGGGGACGATACGAGAAACTCAGAGAAGAATGATGAATGCGTACACTTTGCACGTAAATGCCGTTCAAGTGCAACTTGAACGGAATTCTTTCTGTTGATACGACGGACTTAGCTGGGATATCTTATGTCCATTGATACATGTACAGAAAACGTGCCAGGTTAAATCTCTCGCGTTTCCATTAACGATAAAACATTCACAAATGAGCCACGAAATAAGTATGAAAATATGTTTCAGAAAACAATGCATTCATTTATTGATTGGCGCAACATCAAATATTGATCTCATAATGCGCGTGTCTCGTACGTATTTCATGTATCGGTAACCATTTTTCATGAAATTTTCCAGGCTAGCTGGTAGAAAATTATTTTATTCCGATCGTGCGTTTTATACTGCTCTCGTGTGCTGTTCTAGCTTTATTAAATTCTGAAACATATATATATATATATATATATATATATATATATATATATATATGTGTATGTATATATATGCTATATGCTTTCACGAGAAACAAATTTGTTCTACGCAACCACATTGTAATAGCTATATATATTGATTTATTTTTATTCATATGCGAAAAAATTTAATAATGCAATAATTCCAAATTTATACCTCAGACGTTTATTTAGCGAATAAAATCATATGAAGAGTTAAAATCACATATAATTAAAACTACATTTTATTTAAAATATAATTCATAGATATTTATTTTAGACTAATTTCTTTTTGAATTATCTCTTTTGTTATCTCACGAAAGCTGTATATGATCCTGTAAGTTATATCTGTAGAACTACATGGATAGCTTAAATAATGCACCATAATTCTAACATCATCTTCTAGTATTAACGAGATTATATGTCTAGATATGCATGTGTGCATGTGTGCGTGTGTGTGTGCGTGTGTGTGCGTGTGTGTGTGTGTGTGTGTGTGTGTGTGTGTGTGTGTGTGCAGTTAGTAAGTGCAATAATGAATGCGGTGCAAATCCAGTAATTAAAGTTAACTGCTCAAAGTCACGATCATTAATTATATCAACGGAGAGACCGATAATGATTTTGACCCAATTAATCGCTCTAACAGGGTGATTTGTAGCACGTGCCGCATCAGCAGAAAAAGACGACCGTGTTTAACGTAACAGATAAAAGCAAATGGAGCGTTTGTATTTATAATTACAGAGAGCAATCATATCCTCTTGCTATTAAACGTATTAATTATTCTTTTTGAAAAAAAGCATATGTATAAACGTATATTTATTAAACGTAAAAATCTATTAAATATTTGTGATAAATAAATACATAAAAATTATGATAAACATAAAAACATTTGAAAGTGTCTTAAATAATTTATAATATTAGGTGTTGGAATTAATTCGTAGCGTTTTTTAATGAAAGAATGTTATTTATTTCACATGAGCATTAAAAAATACATTAATGAAAGTACTTCCCATCACTTGTAAAACGCTACGAATTAATTCCAACACCTAATATAATTTAATCATTTAATAAAATAATATTTAATTAAAAATTCATGTTGTGTAGATATTTAACAATTTTATAGAAATCGTAAACATTCTGTAACATTAAGTATGTTGATCCTGTAATCTATTATTTTTTCGCAAGATATTTATTTTGTTAATTTTTTGAAAATATAATATTTTTATTTTTTATCGTAAGAATGTAACATCTTTTTAACAAGTATTAAAGCTGCAATAAAATACTCTATTAATCATGAATTCAATCTGTTCAATTCGTATTAGCATAAAATTTCTCCCATTCTCAGATTATAAGAGCAAATGTTTTATATCGAGATTTAATCGGAATATTATTACAATTCTTTGATATTACGATCGAAATGAAAAAAATCATAATGTCATCAACGTTAAGTACGCATGAATTTTTAAATCTAATTATAACACACACGTCTTTTCTAATATAACATTATTACTTTAATCCTAATTAAAGTTCTCTTTAATGATCTTAGAATCCAGGCTCACTCTTTAACGATAGCTTGCTTCTACTTTACTATATATCTCTGTTACCCACTCAAAGTTAGTTCGAAGCACGCGACAAGAAAACAATATCCCCGTTCGTGTCTTTCATTCACTCTCGAAGAGCTTTTCTAGAATCGTGCTAATCTTTAACAAGGGAGCCCTACACCCTGTAACGCATTGTGCAAGATCTTACTGCTTCTGTGCTTCGTGGAGCAAGTTTCAAACTCGGTACAACTTCAGTTAGCTTTAGACTTCTTGGCCCCTCTGAATGCTACGAACGAAATTTATTTATATCCGCACACGCCACTTCACATACAATAATGGAAACTTCGCCCACGAAGTCATGTAATCATAGTGAAATGAGAAGATATTCTAGTTTCTCGAATATCGAAACTGTGAAAATCTGTTGTAATTACATTCGTCAGTTAAATATACAGTAAGTTTGCGAAAAATAATGCAGAAAAATTGACTACCAAGACACGATGTCGTAAAATGTTTGATGAGATAACAAGTTGATGAAAGAATATAGTGATGAAGTTCCCAAGACTTCCGTTGCGTTTTATATTCATGCTCAAAGTTGTGAAACGCAAAAGTGGAGGGAAAAATATTGCCAGGTTGAGATGCTTTATAGCGGAGAGTTGATTGTGTGTGCGTAAAGTGGATACAAGGGTCTCCATGGAGTAATGTATGACGGCGTGGTTTTTATGCGTCTGCAAATGAATCAGTAAAGGCATTTTTAGTAACGCGAAGTGATAATAAATTATATACACGAACCCGACACATGCAGGCCTCGGGAGATATGTTCGTGATAAATTCGACGGATAATCGTTGCGGCTATCAGCTATGTATAAAAGCGTGTCTATATGACTGCGTTTCTTTTTATTTTATTTACGTGCACATATCTATCAATTATTTGTGACGTTAATCATTTTTCCTCGTTACAAAATAAAAAGGACCAGGCGTGTAAATGACTCACAATATCTCTTTAATGAGATATATTTTATTAAATTTCATAATTGCGTCATCTCTCTCACGAGTTATTTTTATCCCGACGGAAGTGTCGTTTTGACGAGCTTAACCGAGATAAACGTGTCATTTAGCGCGTTTTAACTTTCGCTGTACTTTTAATGACATTGCTTGAATTAATTATTCCCCGTGCGATCGAGTACTCGTGACTGCAAGTAATGACCAACGCGTCACTTTTCCGGGAACGCAGCATGAACGTAAGCCACGTCACGTAGTTTTGAAGTGCAAACCTCTGTCACGGACGATGAGCACGCGTCCACTAACCTAGTTACAAGTTAAGACTTCAAACTAGATTAGCTGCTACAAAATATACTCTTATCTATCAATGTTTTCGAAGCTATTTGAAATTAAAAGAAAAATTGACTGAATGAAAAAGAACTCTAATTATATGTGTTAAAATAAGCGATGTAAACACATTTTCTCTAATAAAAGTTATATCATTATACTAAACATGAAGCATGTTAGAAACAATATAATATTTACAATTAATATTATATATTTCGTTTGCTTCACAGATTGTATTATTAAAACGAAAAGTCAGCTCGATTAATAAATTTAATTATGTTATTATTTCCAATCCAGTGAAATGGCATAATTATATTTATTATTAGTTATATTAATAGTAATTAATTAGCAATATTATTTGCATTTGTTGCAGGACGATTTCTGATCTAACTAACGGAAACAACAACAGGTAACAAAGCACTTTAAAATTGAACATTGCATGAAAAAATAGCTATTAATTAAAACTGGTTTACTTCTATTATTGTCTTACTCATGTTGTTGATACATCATGCATGTTATTATTACATGTATTATATGATTTCAATGTTGCATATTGCATATTGTGTTAACAAATAAAACGCAAACGTAGCTTTTATTTGTCCTTTATAAGAGACGCTTTTAGTTGACAATTCCGTTTGAACGAAATTCGCAGTTTGGAATATATAGTGCAAACTTGAGATTTGAGGAAAGATTCATGACAAGACATTCCCACGTTACGCAAAAATCGCGCATAAGCCGTAGCGGAAAAACAAAGTGGATTATGCGTCATGTATACTTTCGCCGTTAAAAGAGAGAGAGAGAGAGACGAGAGTTTATTCCGCAGACGGTCTAATGTCGCAAGTTTACAGAGGACCTCCGGAAGAGGCGGGGGTGCCTTTGGCTGTTAGGTATAGGTGTCAACGTTATAGGTAGCTCTTTTCGCGAGGGTTTCCTTCGCGCGTCTTACTTCCTCTCCCGGTTCCTTCGAAAGAGGCTCGCAATGTCCGTGTATTTCTCTCCTTCTGCAGCTCTTCCTACCTCTATCCGTGCAATGCCCGAAGGTATGTTGCAGCTTACAGTCTCACTGTTTATCTTCAGCCGTGAGCTTTTGTGTTTGCACAGGCTCCTGGCACTACCAACCGTCGCATATCCACATCGACCTCGTCCTTCGCGGCTGACTCCGTGCAAGACGAACTACCGCGGTCCTCTATTTATTTAGTTTTTTCTCGGGGAGTTTGTGGATCCTGTAGGAGAAATGCTTAATTGCCGTAAGTGTCCGCGCCACTGCACAGACCTTGGAAACGTTTCTTCACGGAATCTCTCTTGATCGTCGTGGATTTTTGCCATTTCAAAGATTGAAATTCACGCTGTACGTAACGAGCGTGAATTTATTTGAATGAATTAATTTTAATACTTTTAGTCACGATTCTCTATTTTATTTAATATTCCCTTAAAAAATGTATTATTATTCGTTTGAATGTCCGATACATTTTGCGATACTTTCATATTTTTTTATCGCACTGGTATGAATTTTCACGGGCTGAAAAATTTTAAATCTTTTTATTATATATTCGTACACCTCTCTCTCTCTCTCTCTCTCTCTCTCTCTCTCTCTCTCTCTCTCTCTCTGTGTGTGTCTGTCTTCCTTTTTTATATCCATATTAATTGAAAGTGACGTCAAAATATTCTCGCTATATCGAATACACAGCCGTGTCAGTTGAAAACATGTCTAAAGGACCGGCGTGAATATTAGAAAAGTTTTCACGAAATGACATTTCCGTACATTGACATGTGACATTGCTGGCGTTGCGGTTTCGCGTTAAAAGAAACGTCTAAATTACCTGCGATAGCATCGAATTCAAAACTGGACGCGACGCGCACGGGTTAGCGCGAGTTAAAAAGTACGGTGCGGATACCGTGGGCGATGTTCCGTGGTGGTAGTTTTTGCAATTAGCGATATCGGCTACGTCATCCGACACGTTCGGTCGGCCGAGCGACGCGATGCACCGGCTGGTGCCGGAGCGCGCACTTCGTAGCGTCGTCGGTGCCGCCTGGCGTATCGCCAAATTTCCAGCTGACCCACCCTCTTTCTCTCATTCCCTCTTCCCACATCCCTCGTACTCTGCTCCACCTGGCTGCCGTCGATTCCTGTGCGTTGTATATATCGATGCCTAGGGCCGTGCGCGTTATCAAACGATTTATATCGGTGTTTTACAAAATTTGTGGAGCCAAGGCTTGCTGCGACTGGCATGAGGTGCGCGCCAGTCCCGCTCGGGGAATGCATTAAACGTTAACGGCGAAAATGGATAACGAGGGTAGCGGCGGCGCCGGCAAAGGGCGCCTCGTGCATCGCCGTGAGCCAAAAGATATCACCGCGGCGTGTTATCGGGTTTAATCTAGGCTCGTTAATAACCTTTCGCTTTTGTAAGCGCGTTACGCCGCAGAGAGATCCGTTTCCACACGCTCATTCGCGGCCGGTCGAGGCATCAGGATTTATGCCTGTCCTCGATAGCGCACGCCGCCGTAACACGAAAGTCCGGAAGCCACGCCTCGCATTTACCGTTAAAACGCGCCCATCGTGATCCCGATACCGCTTTTGACTATTCGTCTTCCTTGTGGGAGGACACGCGTCGCTCGCAACGAACGAACATCGCCGTTTGCGATAACGTCCGCGAAAATATTCGGTAACGTCCCGTTACCGTAAGTCTCTCCGGCGGAAGAGTCCTTGGAAAATCCTGAATTTTCTCGGCGTACATCGCGTCGGTGCGGTGGCAAGAGATTCAACGGAAAATGGGACGTACGTTTCGCGTTAAGAGAAGTTCCAGGCCGCCGGGGATACGAGTCGGCGACGGCGGCTTAGCCCCGAAGTGATTGCGTAAAGGGCGCAGCTGCAGGCACATTCGAGGATTCTTCGGGGAATCCAAGCGAGCACCGTCGCTGGGATAACGTCGGAGAACAAAGAGCGGAGTAAGCTAAAATAATTGCCAATTACAAAACCGAGCTGGATATTAACATTATCTTAGGGAGGCACCGCAGCAGACCGCCAACGTTACCTGCAGCTGCAAGACGATGAGTTTCTTTGTGAGAATGTTTTTCCGCGTTTCTCTGTCCGGGAAATCTCGAGGTGGAGCAGTTGCCGCATGCGTTTTCTTCTACGATAACCGATTGTGCCGCCCGCGTAGTCGAGATAAAGAAGATCGTCCGCCTCCGAAGAGAGGAGCGGCGGACATCCGCTATGAACAATTATTAGTACAGCACGGAGCTTTCAACTTTGGAATATCGTTATAACGTGATTTTATCTACAAGTTGTACGGAGAAATTTCACTAATGCAAGAAACAAGAGATGAGTCTTGAAAGCGCACACCAGCAATTGCGCGGATATGAAGCAACGTATTTCGCGTTTAATCTGGTTACACACAAGATACGGTAAAACGAAACGAGATACAGCAGATTCACAGTAATATAAAGTACAATTGCGTAACACGAAGATCCACGATTATTTAGCTTCTTTTGTCAGTCACGCAACCACAATTGACACGATAAACACATTTCATGCATATCATATTATACAATTACCAATTCATCAGATTTGGAGAAATTTTGAAGTGAAAATCATGATGACAATCTCCATAATTTAAATAATATCGCAATTGTCACCGTTGTTCTCTTTTCCATCCAGCAATCTATCAATAGATTTTCAACTGGGATTTGTTTCTTTCTCCAATTTCTCCTCTTGCTCTCAAGCGTACAATCTCGAACCAGAGAGTCAAATCCTCGATTCAGTTATTCACGAGATAGAAATTTCCGATTAAATCGCATTTATTAAATTTATCTCGATTTAACTTTGATGGATATATAACTTTTGTCTTTAACGGTGACAGCAGAAAAATTACAAATGACACGATACGAAACGGTTGTAGTCGTCGTGTTCAGGCAATTATCGGACAGAATTCAGCATATTTGTACCGGAACAGTTCTGTCACAAATAAATATGAATGACGGGTTTCCGACAGGAAAATAACGAGATTCCTCGATCCCGCAATTCTGTGTTGCTGGCCATTATTTTCCATTAATCCGCTATGGCAGGAAAAACCCGACTCCGGATTGAAGAGTCACTCGTCTTTCTCATTCGGATTTCCGAGACAAGCCCGCCTCGATTTCATTCGAGATAAAAGCAGAGAAGTAAGCGTAAAAAGAAGCCGTACCGTTTGCAAGGTCCTCCCTTGATCCGCAGATGCGGTCTAAGGTTGTTCGGAAAACGCGTTTGTATTAATTAAAATGTAATTAATCAGAATTAAATTGACTCGGCTGGATAGGAAGGTGAGCGCGCGCAACGACGAAGGAAATTGATTGGTGGAAATGGAAGAAGAATAGCATGGTGGTGGCAACTTTTCTCGACGGATCGTTCCGCGATTCCACTATTTTCACTATCCCGTCATTCCAAATCGAGAATAATGTAAATATTTCACGAACATCCAATTAGTCTAAGAAAAAAGTGCGGAATTAATTCAGTGTTTAATGGCTTCTTGAAAGATTAAACTTCAGTTACTTGCCTATGTATCTGGATCAGCAAAGAAACACAAAAAACTTTCTACATTCTTTGTGCTAAAAGTCCTTAAACTAAATGTGACGTGAAACCATCTTTTCTGTGCAGCTGTATTGGCGTATAAAGTGATACACATTTCTTATATTAGTCATGCATGCCAAAAAAAAAACGCCGAAAAAAAAGAGGAAAAGAAAATTTTGATTTGAGTATTTTTTTATATTATTTATAAAATTGCGTGGTTTTTCGATTGTTGGAAGGCCACAGATATGAAGTTTTACGTGTAAAATTCATGATGCACAACATGACACAGTGTAAGAGTACAATCGCTAAAGCATTTATAAAGTTCTTTCAAATGTTTGGTCTATGGACATTTTAAGAGTCAACCGACTTGCGCGCGGTTCTTACGTTGGTCTGCGTTAGGAAGTTTCGGGACTAACTACGGCGAAACTATTCAACATTTTTTTCCCGTTAATTAAATACCGTTCTTGTAATGGAGTTAAAAGAGTCGTGGTACTTTAAAATGTTAAATGGGAATTAGGTCACAAACGTACCGTTAAACTCGTTTTTTTTTCCATTACTCCCCATAAACGTGTTTGGTCGATGTTCAGTATTTTCATTTATTTTTCAAGCTTTCGCGAAACATTGTTGTGGCCGAAACTTGGCATTGCTTTTCGATGGCTTTTTTTTTTAACAAACAGCTGTTGACAGCTCGGTGACCTGCTACAAGTGAATTTGAACGCACATTTCTCTGTCAGCGGTTGCAAATGTTAAGCGTATCAAAATCAATGTTTCGTTGAAATTCCACAAAATTTATTGCAAATAGTACAAGTCGTATGCTTAAATTTTTAAACGTCACGAAGAATGAAATATGATATGTATTTGCA